ATTCAACCTCTCCCCCAAAACTCCCTATCCTGACCAGGTCGTCAAATTGTTCTTTGGGGAGAGCTAAATCTGCCCACTTCTCCTCGATTAAGCTTAATGATACTGTCTTCTTTGGACCAAGCTGCAGATATCAACAAAATTGGTTAAATTTGATATTTACAGAAACATTACCATATCCTATTTAGTTTATTTATACTATGATATGACTGTAAATTTTGTCAACTTGAAAGAAAATTGCTTAGATTTTAATATATTGTAAATTTATGTTGTTTCACAAGTTTTTTTTTTTCCTTTCAGATTTATAACATCATTCTTAAGTATATGTACATTGAAAAAATAATCATGAGTTCAATTCCATAATAAACACCTTTGTTGATATGTCATTCTGTGATTGTTAGTTTTCAAACACTTGTTTCATTTATAATAATGACATATTGTGTGATTGTGTCCTCTCAATTGTTTCCAAGAATGTTTCAGGACATGAGTTAAACACAGGCATTTATCAGTGAAAACAATCTGTGAACACTCGCAAATTATGTCTGTGATAAGTTTTTGAAGAAAAAACATTTCATATGTGGTAAATGAATACAAATGGCCAACCTTGGAGTCTACGAAAAAATGTTCCACCTATATCATCAAATTGGAATTAAATCATGATTAGGAGGGATGGAATAATGGAAAAGGAGTAATTTATTTTGCTAGTCAATAAATGCATTAATTTGTTGTGCTCAAGATTAACTTTAACATAAATCATCAATTTAATGTTTGAATTATAAGGCCAAACATATTAAAATGATACAATACATGTTCAGGAATCTGACAGATGCAATTGAAATTTCATGGAATAAGCTCAGAAATTAATAATCAAGAACAATATTAATACATGGATATCACGAATACTGAGGAAAATGAAATCATAACTACATGTAGATGTATTAACTTTGTATATATTTTCCTTCTGAACTGTTCCATACCTGCTTATTTAGCACCCTCAAAAGACCTGGGGTAAGACCTGTATCTGTTTTCTGTGTGGCCACAGGCATTTCAAGTCTCTCTTTCACAGGGGGTGTCTCTCCTTTTGCCATGTCTTTAAAATAGCTATAAAATATAAACAAATATCTCGTCATTCATAATGTTATTCTTCAAGTAGGTATCCATATGCACACTTCTATGAGAGTATTCAACAAAAAATTGAGAGGGGAAGTAGAGGGAATTACATGTAACAGTATATCTTTCAATATTTTACAAAACTGGCGAAGTATCTGCCTCATCGACTTCCAACATCAATATTACTTTTGTATGTATTTAAATCAGACTTGCTTGATTTGACTTTGTGTTTAATACAGTACTTATTTTTAATTCTGAAATAACTTACGCAGCAGACCATGCCAAGACATCTTTTGGTTGAGTGCGGATTGCCGCTTTTGTGAATTGTTTCAGAATATCCGGTAATGATGGTGGGATATTTATTTGCTGCGAGCAGTAGTAGGGCTCGTCTGGATTGGTAGGCATTATTAAGTCTGAAATTAAGATATCAATGGTAAATGTATAATTATATACTTTCAGACAGTTTAATATACATCCTATCTATAGTCAGGTATCCAAATTTACTGACGCACCCTTAATTAAGGAATGACTCTAATTCTTGGCCAGATTATCGAGTATAATATGGTTTGGGTAAGTTTACGCTTTATAATCCGCGAAGCGGATTAAAAAAAAGCGTAAATTTACCTAAACCATATTATACTCGATAATCTGGCCAAGAAAGAGTCTTTCTTATATTTAATTTTGAAATAATTATTCAACTGGGGATGTAAAATTGTGTTGTTTTTATGAGTTCAAATTTACCGCGCAATAATACAACCGTAGTAACGGAAGTGATGGGAAGCGAGGGGAGGTAAAAACTGATACATAGATCTAGCAGCCATGATGCTTGTTTACATGAGGTAAGATCGAGTAACTGTTTGAAATTAAAGGTACATTCATTAAATCTGGAATTTTCCATGAATCCCAAGGACTGGAAATGAGGGGATTGATGGATACAGATGATTATGCTGGTTGTCAAGGGGGTGTGTCCCCATACCAAACCAGGTTATACAAAATGTTATGCGTTCCTTTTTTGGAAATCAACCAATGAGAGGCAAGAATACAAGCAAAATTAAATTATTGGGTAAGAGAAAGAGATACAAGTCATAATAAACATGATAAGGACACAAGCTTAATAGTCAGTCTGTATTATAATCACTTATCAATCCATTTTAAACTAATTCATTTTCGTTCTTCAATCAAAATTTTGCAAATTAATCCTTTGTGCTTCATTCAAAAAATGTTTTGGACACTTCAAATAAACATTGATTTTGTAAAGAGGGGTGCATTCAAGAAGACAAGTAAGATGACAATCTTGAAGCAAAAATAAATCAAGAAATGTCTTAACCAAATCAACATTCAGCAAAAGAGAAATGACACGGGTATCAACAGCAACAAATATCTTGTGAGATTCAAGCACTGATCAATGGATTTTCAAACTTTTTGCCACTCTACATAAGTATAAACAAGCGATAAAATCCATTTGCGGATCAATATATCATAAAAATCAAAACATTAACGTTTAAATACTCACTTTATGTTTGATAAAGGAAAATCACAGCTTCCGTAAATTTTTTTTAAAAAAAACAGTTGCAACCGGAAGAGGTTATGTTGTTGATAGCAACGCATGCGCATGGTAAATCTTCGTCACTAAAGCGCTTAAAAGTGAGGATCACGTGACATTTTGTTGGTCAACACTGCGTTGTGGTCGTCTGCTGACAAGAAACTGAAAAGAAAGAACCGATTTTACAGACTTAAAGAAGTAGTACATACGAAGGTGCAAGTGTTTATAAGGATAGACAGTTCTTCTGTCAAATACTGAGCTCTTTCAGTTTCTTTAAAAATATTGATGAAATCAAATGTATGTTCAAAAACATGTTTTCCATATCCAGCAATCTTTTCCACTAAACGTCAAAAGTTTGATTATAAACAAGCAGTTCAAAATAGTTGAATTTCAGAGCAGTTTTCACATGTTTTTTGTGTGATATAGGGGGGCCCCCATCTCAAACTTGTGGCATGTAGATCTATTTGTACTGTGGTAGATGGATTCCTATTTTCAAAAAAAGTTGGCTCAAAATATAGGCCTAGTAACAATTTACATTATCACATGCCGATGGATTTCTCTTTAATTGGAATGAAATGCTTTGCATTTAAGTAAAAACATTTCCCTATAATTTTGTTTAGTAGACATTACGGTTCTTTCCAATTGGGATACATTTTGTGTTTGTTTTCATTTGCTACGTTTAGCAAAAACATTTTACATGCTGATTGACAAGGGAAGTTGATTAGAATGTGGCTTTTAAGATTATTTTTCGAACTATCAGTCCTCAAAAGTATTCAGTAGATATTTTTCAAACTATCAGTCCTCATATGTTTACGTTTACTGTTTTTAGAACTTAATTATGCAGAGTAACATGTTTTTACCTATGCTAAATCTATCTGAATAACAATCCAGACTGAAAGATGAACCGAACCTAAAGACAGAAGTGAAAATTGTAGCACCCTGTATCAAACCAAGAAAAAATACTGTGGTGAATCGTGGTTAACCTTTCAGTCTTACCAGTACTCATTGTGAAATGTATGCATTGAAGCCTTAATTTAAAATAGTATGATTTAATAGTTTTAACCATGCATGCTGAATTATTACCATGTTTAGCTAGGTTATCTAGCTCATGTATCAAACAGTCTATGCGAAATACCAACCGTGGTTTTTACCGTTAAAATTTAGGTCGGGTCGGACTCGGTAAAAAATTTCAGTATACTGTGAGGACCAAATGTCCAAAAAAAGAAGGCCAAATAAATCTAAATTAAGAGGTCAAATTCCCCCCAAATATCCTTTATTTGACCAATTTAGCAGTAATACCTGAGTAATTTTATGTATTTCAACCCTGTCATGATCGTTTTTATTCTAATTCGAATTTCCTCTGTCAAGGATTAGAGATCTTTTGATAACTCATCCGTAGATTTGGTTTGGAAAATATTTAGATAGCACATGCGTACATGTAGATTTGGTTGGGAAATTATTTTCAAATGATTATTGAACTTGAGTAACCATAATGAATTGTTTCAGGAAAAATAAATATGCATTGAAAGTGTATATTAAATTTAACGAAATCTTTGTTACACACCCATTCTCAATATAAGAGCACAAATGCCTATCTGATTTAAAAAAAAATAAAGTTCAAGATAACAATTTTTCTATCAATTACCTTTGAAAGAAAGTATCTGAAGATTTTGTTACAAGATTTTTTTTCATCAAATTTAAATACATGAAATAATGACAAGACGTTGAAGTAGGGGATGATTTTATTCAGAAATGTAGCTGGAAATGTACGTTACTCTTTCTGCAATGTCCAAAAAGGTCTACAGAAAAAAAGTAGTCATTAAAAATCACAATTGGAATTATCTGGAATAGTTCATCTTAACACCAGCACATCCTACCAACTCTGTCAGCAACATATTCTCTCGGCATACGAACATGCGTTTGATTTTTCCTTTCAAAAAACAAAGGTTACTTTTTGATCCAGATGTATAGAAATTTTTTATAATGTATGCTTTAAATTCTTCTCTCTGTTTTGATTAGAGCGATCAGTTTGGAATTTTGTCATTTTCTATAGATACTGGAACTTAACATGTACATTTAGTAAAATTCTATTTTGTAGTTACTGTCCTTTTTAACATATATCCATGTCGATTTAGAAAACTACGTAAATATAACGTACATTTCATTATTTATTTCTGTTTGATAAAAAGCTTAAAATTCATCGAACATTTCATCGTTTTGCGTCAGTTTATTCCAAAATAGATTCTGTATGTAGTCACATTGTGTTATTTGTCACAATCACCACTATAAAGACACGGTTGCCTCAGAATATGAAGAGTAATGTACATTTCAAACTTGTAATAATATGTAAGTAAATATTGAAAAAAAGCAATTATTGACATAAAATCATTTCAATGAAGCGTTTTAACGCAGTAATATAAGAAATCATAATGTAACAAACGAGGTTATTTGTCATTAACTACATGAATGTCACGTCACTTCGGTAACGTTCATTTCACATATTATTGGGGAGTCCCCTCCACCTCAGTTCAACCATTCTTTTGTGCTGTTTCGCTGAAATTGACACCATTGCCTAGTTAGTTCTACCTGTGGGCAAGGGTACAGACAAAAACAAATAAGAGTAAGACATATTTTGCTAGGATCCAACAAATGTTCGTGTTTGGCCATTGAAACTTAACATAAATGATCAAAATCTATTCCAATATATCCATCCACAGTCTTGTTAACAATTTCATTAGTATGCTGCAACATCGTTTGTCAAAACACAAACATACGTGCTTTTCAGCAGATCTGGAAAAATATAACCCAAAATGCAATGATTCAAACAAAACTGAGTATTGTGTACCTTTCAGTATTTGAAATGTACGTGCCCGTCTTGTGTTTTTTTTTTGTTGTTTTTTTTTTTTTTTTTACCAATTATAAGCCTGTGCATACCTTGTTTTAAATTATCAACAACAATTAAATGAATATTGACGAAAAGTCGCATATTAAAAGTAAACAAACTGCAAAAAGGTTGCCAAAGATGAATTAAGATGCTTAGAAATAAACTTTCTAGCACGTGGTAAAAGTCTACCACATTTACGAGGAATGGAGTGCAATGGCTTTATGTGGTCAGTTGTTAAATGGATTGTAACGATAATTTTGTTTCGCTCGTATAAACGCAATTCATTGACTAAACTTAAAAGAAAATGTCAGTTAGAAGTACGCAAAATGTACGTTACCATACGTAACGTACATTTCAAATATAAAAATCAATTCTCTTCCACAAGCGTACGTTACACACGCAATATATTGATATTATTTGAACTTGCATATCATAAGAAATGCATCATACAGGTTTCGTATTCAGAAATACATATCAGGTATCAAAATTATATCACATATAAATGACCTTAATATAATTTTTTTCCTCAGCAGAAAGGTTTCTTTTCATTAATTTTTGGGATTTAGCCGACCTCCAACCTTTGAAACTTTCCTTTGTGTACACATTCGAGTGTGTGAAAGTATGAGAATACATGAAGATTCGTGCGAGATTCGCTGAATTCGAATTTCATGGTAACGTACGTTTCAGTCACGTACATTTCGAATGACTACTTTTCATGTAAAAAATAACTTTTAATTGTGTTAAGCAAAACGTCTTTGCCAGTTTACAGGGTACAAGGGGTTGCTTACTCAGAGTCGTCTCATATTTTCTACTTAATATATATTCTTAATGGAAGGATATAGGTAACGTACATTTCTTTCTTATCTCTACGATTGAAAATGTCTTTTATTCCGTAAACATAGTTATAAAAGTTGCTCAAATTGTTCAATTTCATGTTACATTATCTAAGTATGAGTAAATAATCCTTTGAAATTTCAAATATAGCCCATCAATAAATAAAGGAGAAAAGAACTATCAGTTGTATAATCTTTGTCTTTGCTTGTAAATTGGTTGGAATAGAATTAAGCGACAGGGACACTGCACAATAAAAATGATTTATTATCACAAAGAAAATGTATTTATTGTTATAAAAAGAAATATATTTGATACAAGGTTTAACTTATTAGAAAATTTTTACTTGAGAATCAAAATTGCATATTACACAGAGGGGATTCAGCATAATATTTGCCTCGGCGACAGTAACGTACATTTCAAATACGCTATTATATATTTGGATTTGGAACTCCTTTAATGTCCTTTCAGATCGATAATTATATGAATTCTTATTCATTATTATATGACTATTTATAATGTTGATTTGAAAATTACATCAGTGGTATGTCTTCTAAATGAAAATGAGGCGACATTATTTGAGCCCTTAAATTGAGAATGGGTGTACAGTGTCTTGTGTATAAGTCAAATATGAAGAAAAAAATGCATGCAATTGTATAAGAAGATACCTTTTACAAAGGAAAATTATAAAATAATAGTTAACTTGTCCATTTCACTCTGAATTTATTTAAGGTTAAATGTCACAGTGAGAATTAACCCCATCCCACCCAACCTCTCAATCTCAGTATCATAACGATGTATGGATTTAAAGTAAAAAAAGTCGGTCTGGTAAGAAATTGTTTGGTCTGGTAAAAATCTTATTTTTACCAGACATTTTGTCCTGTAAAAATTTTAAACTTTCGCGTAGACTGATCAAATAACTGGCTGGTCTCAAATCATAGCCTGAAGACATTCAAAACTTTTATTCCAATAGGCCCTTTTGCACATATTGCAAAAAAAATCAACCATTGAATTCAGAACAGTTACTCCAGGATGAATGGTTAAGAAGGGGTAGGAAAGTCATGTGCATTTACAAAAAAAATGCATTGATGAGTAATTTTAATGCACTCTATGAACAAAATTAAAGTTAATCATTTGATAAACAAAATGCCTATAAATTTTGTTATAAACTTGAGAAAAAATGAAAACAAACTTAACAAAATATAGACTTGGAAAAGGTACACAGAATTCACCTTTTGTACATTTTATGCCATTTTATTACGTACATGTACTTCATCAAAAAACAGGTCACAACCAGTGCAGATACAAGACAGTCACTCACAGTAATCTGTTCTTTATGCTGATTGGAATGGCTGCAATATTCATAATGTATATATCTCAAAGCATACATAGAAAAAAAATTGTATATAAAGCATACATCTACCAACTTAAGTGATTTCTCGGAAATACAGTTGACCAGGGACATGTTTTGAATTTGAAAGCGCAATTTTATTATTCTATTCGATCAAGAATGTAAACAGTGCTCACAACAAATCCTGAATATTTTTTAGAAACACTATAGGTACAAAAACTTGAGCTGTTGCTAAAATTACAATTTTTTTTTTAATTTCAGACCCTCGGAGAAATGGCAACTACACAGTGCCAAAGAGAGAAAACTAAAGATGTAAGATGTTCAAGAAATGGCATTGAATATATACATGTGTAATGTATGCAGCAATGTAAATGTTTCCCTTTTAATGTACTGTTGCATTGATCTTGAGAGAACAGACCATTCATCATGCATTCAAGGAAAATGGTTTAAAAATCTCAGAAATTATAAGTGTAATTGATCATGTTGATTATGTGAACTGTTTAAAACTGCTTAATTTGAAATACTGTATACAGGGTTATTTTCGCCCCATCTTATTTTCGCCCTTTCACTCTTGCAAACAATTTTGCTCCATTTTAAATTTGCCCAGTCCTAGTTTTGTTTAAGAAGTTAAACTGTATTCTTTGAATTCACCCCGTTTTAAATTTGCCCAAATGAGGGAGGGGCGAAAATGGCGAAAAAAAGGGGCGAATATTTCCCTGTATACAGTATCATGTTTTCTGTCTGTTGTGTTTGTCTGTAAAGTTTGATATAAGGTTTGAGATAACTTTATTTTAAATTCAAACTTCAAATTTTGGCTATTAAGCTTTAATGACATTTTGATCATTATAATTTCAACAAAATTGTTTACACTTGTTCACAGGTATATATGTAACCATGATTAATTTTGATTTTAGTTGACAGGGATTTTTCCAAATGAGACTGTGACAGAACAGAAGTCCATACTGTTTGTGAAGAAACTTTTGGCTGTGGCAGTTTCAAACATTGCTTACCTAAGAGCCTTGTTTCCAGAGCATGCATTTGGAGATCGTTCAATTGAAGGTACAGATTAATTCCTTACAAGATTTGATAAAATGCTGTACAAATTTTAATTTAAGATGGATATTTATGGTTAGATACCATCATTTGAAAGGATTGGAAAATAAGAACAACAGTGTAATGTTTTTTATACTTTATCATTTTTCTATCAGATATCCAGTGTTTTCCCTAAGAACCGGCTACTGCCAAATTGCTCCAATTGACAGAATTGCCACTTTGAAATAAAAATTTGTTGTAAGGTCCACAGAGATTTTGTTCATAAACCTCAGCCCGTAGCCTGTTGCAAATGATCTGTAACCCTTTAACTTTGAAATAAAGGGAAAACACTGGATATCACATACAATTTTACTTTAATGCTGTTAAAACCATGTAAGATTTCTCTAGCACGTACTGGCTCTCCCATCAATGAAAGAAACTTAAGTCTTTATACAATAATACAAATTTAAAATCAATAATACAATTTTAATTCTTATTAATTATTATATAATTGTGTATATTAAGTATTTTTTCTGCAACTGGAACTTAAATTCCTGTACTAACAATCAAAGAAAGCATTTTATTGCTTTTAATGCCATATACCTATAATTTCATTCCAATTAGAGTCCAATGACTGCATTTATAATTTTCATCCTATAGACCTACATTTGAAAACTTTGAGAGATGACAGTGCTTGTCCAGGAGTGTGTAAATTCATACAGTATATGAAAGGATGCTTTGATGCCTTGGACAAGAAATATGTAAGTACATGGAAATGTTGTATCAGAACACTACATGTGTATTGTGATTGTATGATTAAAATGTGCTTTACATAAGCTTGGACAAATTTCAAAATTTGTGACTGCATACCATAGCAGAAATAAATTTATACTACATACAAAATGTCTTTAATTTAAATTTAATAGTACAGTAAAACTCGTTAGTACGAACATGGATATTGCGAATTCACGGATATAGCGAAGTGATCTTGGATCCCCAGCTATATAAATTTAACAAATTTTTAAACGGATATAACGAATTACGGATATAGCGAAGTAATTTCAGAGGTCCCAGCGATTGTTTATAACAGAGTTTTGATATATACAATGTATTAGCAGAATGTGGAAGATTTTTTTGTTATAATGTATTTTTTAAATTTCAGCTTAGAATACTTATCCTAGGGGTATGTAACTATTATTATCACTTATTTTCTGAATTCCTGAAAGCTCCCTCACTCTCTATATAAGTATAAAAACACCATAATATAAGCTGTTTTCAGTATCCTAGCTCACAATGATGCTACAGATGACAGTTAATTAGGACCCAGTATTAAGTCATCAATGGGCTGAAAGAATTCAGAATTTATTGCTGAAATTCAGATATAATTGGTTTTATTTTGCAACCAAGTCTTCAGTTTAAGGATATAAATTGTACTTCACATAGCATTTTGAAACATGGGTTGTTTTCTCAAAAGTCTCATATCTTTATTTTGAATAAAAGAAATGTTTCTGAAAGAAAAAAAAGTTTATTTGTTATTCGACAATTCGTGATCATTTGTAAAAATAAGTATGGTTCTACATTTCAGCTCTACCGTGATCCAGAAAACCCTGAGGTAAGTTGATTATTTAAGTATTCTGTATAATATACTGTAGAAGTACTTTTTTCCGCGTGGTATTCATTTACGCTATGCGCGATCATAAATATTCCGCGGAAATTTGTTCAAGCGTACTTAATATAAAAGTAAGGTATAGAGTGACAATTTAGAAAATCCGGTAATTTTTACCCGCGGATTAACAGAAATTGAGATTGCGAATTAGCCTTGTGGAAAAAAGTACGTCTACAGTATGTAATGGTTTGGATCATGGATATCAGCCTGGGTAGCTCAGTTGGTAAAGCACCTGACTAGAGATGCAGGGGTGTGGGTTCGATTCCTGGTCCAGCCAAACATTTTCTCCCTTCCTGTCACAGATTTGGTGCTGTTGACCACCCCTTGAATTGCAGATGAAAGTTCTGCCAGGGGATAATAAGAAGTTAGGTTGTGTCTTCAAGGGTCAAGACAATTTAAGGAGGGAGGAATGTAATGATTTGGGCTGTAGATATCGGCCTGGGTAGCTCCTTCAGTAGAGCACCTGACTAGTGATGCAGGGATCTCGGGCTTGATTCCCAGTCCAGCCATACATTTTCTCCCTTCCTGTTACACATATATATAAACCTGTGTAATATTTCTTTATATTCATTTAAGCATTCTTTATTATTAGCTCACCTGAGCCGAAGGCTCAATAAAAATTTGGTGGCATGTTTTAAAAATCTTCTTTTCAAGAACCACTGTGCCAGGAAAGATGAAACTTATATGGAAGCATCCTCAGGTAGTGTAGATTCAAGTTTTTACAAATCATGACCCCCGGGGGTAGGGCGGGACCACAATGGCCTACCAATGTATTACAGAGAAATATATATGAAAATTCTTTATTAAAATCTTCTTCTCAAGAACCACTGTGCCAGGAAAGATGAAGCTTATATGGAAGCATCCTCAGGTAGTGTAGATTCAAGTTTGTTCAAATCATGACCCCCGGGGGGAGGGCGGGGCCACAATGGCTGACCAAATTTTACATAGAAATATATAGGAAAATTCTTTAAAAATCTTCTTCTCAAGAACCACTGTGCCAGGAAAGATGAAGCTTATATGGAAGCATCCTCAGGTAGTGTAGATTCAACTTTTTACAAATCATGACCCTTGGGGGTAGGGCGGGGCCACAATGGCCGACCAAAGTTTTACATAGAAATATATAGGAAAATTCTTTAAAAATCTTCTTCTCAAGAACCACTGTGCCAGGAAAGGTGAAACTTATATGGAAGCATCCTCAGGTAGTGTAGATTCCAGTTTGTTCAAATCATGACCCCGGGGGTAGGGCGGGGCCAAAATGGCCAACCAAAATTTTACATAGATATATATAGGAAAATTCTTTAAAAATCTTCTTCTCAAGAACAGGTCATAATTGATCATATTTATATGGAAGTATCCTCAGGTAGTGTAGATTCAAGTTTGTTCAAATCATGACCCCCGGGGGTAGGGCGGGGCCACAATGGCCAATCAAAGTTTAACTTAGAAATATATAGGAAAATTCTCTAAAATCTTCTTCTCAAGAATAGTAAAGCCATAATTGATCATATTTATATGGAAGCATCCTCAGGTTGTGTAGATTCATGTTTGTTCAAATCATGACCCCCGGGGGTAGGGCGGCGCCAAAATCGCCGACCACACTTTTACATAGAAATATATAGGAAAATTCTTCAAAAAATCTTCTTCTCCAAAATAGAAAAGCTATAATTGATCATATTTTTATTGAAATCATGCCCCGGGTGGGGGTGGGGGGCAAAATGGACAACTAAAGTTTTACATAGAACTATATAGGAAAATTCTTTAAAATCTTCATCTCAAGAAAATCAAAGCTATAATTGATCTTGTTTATATGGAAGCATTCTCAGGTAGTGTAGATTCAAGTTTGTTCAAATTATAACCCCCGGGGGTAAGGCGGGGCCAAAATGGCTATCCAAAGTTTTACATAGATATATATAGGAAAATTCTGTAAAAACCATCTTCTCAAGAATAGCAAAGCCATGATTGGTCATGGGACTACTTTAAGATTTAAACTTTTCAATAATAAACCAATTTCTACTTTTTCCTAGCCACAGTTCTCAGGTGAGCGATGTGGCCCATGGGCCTCTTGTATAATATTACTTTGAAGGTTGCTGACTGTTTACAGAAATATATGATTGATCAATCATATGAAGAAATCTATATATTTCTGTAAAGAGTCAATAACAAGCTTATTATATATAAATGATTTATTTTCCCATCACTTGGATAGAAATAAATAATTTCTTAAAAAAAAAAATTAAAATGGTTAGGTGTCATCTATATTACTAGATAAAAGTGCTCGCCTTCCAGAGGTGCATGTCCACCAAAATATAGTTGTGTCATATGTTTGAACCAATGAAATTGCAAAAATTCAGTTGAAAAATAATACATGTAATACATTTACTTCTTTACATATTGTTTCATATGATGAAAGAGGGATAATATTCATGAAAGACTGCATTAATTTTTTTTTGGAATATTTAATTCAACCTTATAAGATCAATCATTTGGTGATGCTACATGTATTTAACTTTCTTTTGTAGACCTTGATTGAATCCTACACATTCAAGTTCAGCTATGCAGATGAGACAGGAGTAGATATCTACAGGTAAGGAAGCAGGTGGATTTTTTTTTTCTGTTTAAGACGTACAGATCTGAAAAGTTTGAGATACAAACTCTTTGAATATGAATTTTAAGTTGAATTATTTTTTTATTTTGAAAACAAGATTTAGGCACTATAACTTTTGTGGGTGGGGGTGGGGTTAAATAAGGAATGAATACACATTGAAGGTAAAAGACAAATTAAAGTAGCTTAAGTATTCTTATTTGGAATAAGTTTGGTTAAAATGGAAAGGGGGTTATGTGAATAG